ATATGGCTGCGACCACGAAAGCGGTGTTGATGTCTTTGCCACCATGGAGATATATACTCATCCTACACTCATCTCTATTCATACTTAGCTTAAAATACCTACATGCGTATGGTCCCCACTTCAGAACAAAGTATAAAGTAGGTAAAGTAAAGATTACCGAGATCACAGGAGGTGAAGTCCAACACCCCTATGTACAAGGCTCACAGTGAAGGAATACCCTATGCACTGTGATATAGAATTTTCTGCAAAGTAATTGCCATTTGAGCTCTTTCTTGCCCAAATTTGAAAGATTACATGTCATGGAAATATACATGTCACATGTATATCTCCTGCACAACATACCAGAGCCGAAAGCGCACAGAGGTCGTATAAGTATATTTCCTCTGTACCTTACTTCTCTAACTATAAAATGCCACAATGATTGTTTGTATAGCTTATTGTGAGTAAAGCAGCTTGTGTATGTGAAGTAACCAAATTTTAAACATCAATCATATGTTTTTAGCAGTAAAAACAGGAGTAACATTGTTTAAAGCTGTCAAGAAGATTTCACAGATGTATTACAAGAATGGTGTAGTAATTCTTTGTGAATAGTCACCTGAACTGTTTGATATTGATGCACATACCAAATTTTCTACCAATGTTTGACAGATCTTTGTCAGAACATTTGGTACAGTATTAGTGGGGGAGCTAAAGTAAAAAAACCATAAGAAAACTGCAAATTGTGATAAGACTATGCCCTTTGGTGGGAATGTAGTTTAAGGTTAGGCAATGAAAATGAGATGGGGAGGCACCGACCAAAGTTGCTATAATCCAAAATGGCGCCGATTTTTCAAAATGGCTGCCCGTATTTTGGGTTTTACCGGTATATATTTTCTTTTGATATACGTCATGCAAAATGGTGTTTCTGATAAATTTTTACGTTTTTAGGTATGAGCTAAGTAAATAAGTTGAGTAATAATGTAACAAACGTAAATTTATTTACAGAACATTTGTATCACCAAATAAAAAAAGCGCTATATTTTATAAGTTGCAGAATATTTCTACCAACACCATTATTCGCTAATTTGCCTATAGGAAAGTAGTTATTACCGTAGGTGGCATAAGACCTAGGCCCGGGACCGATTTACCTTTTCATTTTAATGTCCCCAGAGGCCAAAAACACCATTTGTTCAAATTTTTATATACAGGGTGGCTAAAAAGTAACTTGCACCCCCCTTTAACTTTCCATCCATTTGAGATATTTGAAATCGGTTTTCAGCAACCTTCTTAGATATGAAGGGCTACAATAATTATGGTCAATATTGAAAATTCTACCCTTAAGGGTAGTGGGGGTAGGGGGTAGCTCAAAATTTTCAAATAACATGTATAGTCGAGTTTGGTATCATTTTACAGGTCTTGACAAGACATTAACATTGACATAAAGAAAACCAAAATCGGCTCACTAATAACAAAATGCGCCCTAAAACGTTTCAAATCCAAATAACCATGAGAGTGACGAATTCGGTTTACGGCAACTTTTCTTGGATAAGAAGGACTACAATAATTATGGTCAGTTTTGAAACTTTTGCTCTTCGGGGTAGCGGGGGTAGGGAGTAGCTCAAAATTTTCAAATAGCAAGTATTGTCGAGTTTGGTATCATTTTTTAGGTCTTGACAAAACATAACAATTACATAAAGAAAATAGAAATCGGACCATTAATAAAAAAATTGCAGTTCAAAATTATTTTAAATAACCATTGTCTCAATCATTTTTAGCTGCCGTTTTGTTATTAATGGTCCGATTTCTATTTTCTTTATGTAATTGTTATGTTTTGTCAAGAGCTAAAAAATGATACCAAACTCGACAATACTTGCTATTTGAAAATTTTAATCTACCCCTTACCCCTAAAGGAAAAATTTTCAAAACTGACCATAATTATTGTAGTCCTTCATATCCAAACAATTTGCCGCAAACCGATTTCAAATATCTCAAATAGTTAAAAAGTTAAAGAGGATGCAAGTTAATTTTTTTGCCACCCTCATGGTTATTTGGATTTGAAACGTTTTAGGGCGCCATTTTGGTATTAGTGAGCCGATTTTGGTTTTCTTTATGTCAATGTTTATGTTTCGTCAAGACCGTAAAATGATACCAAACTCGACTATACTTGTCATTTAAAAATTTTGAGCTACTCCCTACCCTCGCTACCCTTAAAGGCAAAATTTTCAAAATTGACAATAAATATTGTGGCTCCTAATATCTAAGAAGGTTTCCGCAAACCGATTTCAAATATCTAAAATGGTTGAAAAGTTAAGGAGGGTGCAAGTTACTTTTCAGCCATCCTGTGTGTATATATTTGTGTGTTTGTGTCCGTGAACGCTATAAATTGAGTTTTTTCTTGTCCGATTTTGATGAAATATGGTTTGAAGATGTAAGGCGGGGTGAACTTGAATGAGTTCTCGCGAACCAGCATGATCGGACCTTGGGAACGGGGTTTTACGGGGGGGTTTATGGGGTAAAAATTGTTTGTTTTTTTTACCCTCTAAACACAAAATTTCCCAATTTCCCTCCAGACCTTATTAAGGAGCTTAAAAAAACAAATAATTTGGTTTAAAAAAGTGTTTTGTATAATTATTGGTTACGGAGAAAATTCCAAAAATTGTTTTTTTAAAATTCCCATGTTATTCTTATGGAGAATATTGTAAAATGTTTCAGTTTGCTTGTTTATGTATACATTTTGATCGAACTTGGTTAATGTATTTATTTTATACTAAGTAATTAATATTTTACTAAAAAAACACACTTTTTTACCCTCCCTGTTGCAGCAAGCCTAGGTACTCATAAAACCTAATGCTAATTAAATACATTTAATTGAAAATCAACTCAGGCAAATGGAAATTCGCTTAGTCTGCAGGTTTGCTACAGCGGGGGTATTTTTGATTAATTTCATTCCACACAGATTTTCATTGAAAACATTTATATCTATATCAATATCGGCGGGTAAACCATTTATTTAATCAAAGTTCTGAAGTTTTTGACAAGCGTTACATATCCGGTGCTACAAGCATTTACATTTTTTTGCAGAACAAAGCAAACTATCATTATCTGTCTTTTGGCACAGTATAAAAATGGTCCGATCAACAGCTTTTGGTTAGTATCTACCCAAGTCACTCTGAGGAACTAAGTGTAACGGCTTCGCCATTTTTAGAGTCCAATCTTCATTCACTCGAATCAGAAAAAAACCCCTGAACTGGCACCATGTTAGGCCCGGTGTGACGGCCAAATTTGTACAGGTTTTCCTAATAAAACTACACTCAGAACGTGGGCGACACATAATAATAAACACAACAATGACCTGTAGAATCAGCTGTTTGGCAATATTTGTCTATTTAGCATTGCTAACCTGGTTGAGAAAAATAATTGAAAGTGTCATAATTTTGTTGACATTTTTATCCTCTTATATTTTTAGGGAAAAAAATATCTCAAGGAAGAAGAAGAAACTTTCTTTACAGTAATTTCACATTATTTTTATTTTCCCTCTGTCTCAAAATGGATGTAGGCAAATGTGAAAAACACGTTGTAAATAAAACGTTGTAGGTAATAGTAGTTTACGCAACCATTGCGTTAAGTGAGTCTTTACGACACGAGTAGAAAATTTTCGACGATTTTCACGAGCCTTGGCGAGTGCCTTAAAAACTTCTACGAGTGTCGTAAAGACTATTAACGCGAGTTGCGTACACTACTTTACCTACGACCGTTTTTTAATTACTATCAATCTGGATTTAATTACTAACAATCACTACTGATAACTTTTTAGAGAGGTTATGTTTTCGTGTATTGTCATTGCCACTGAAAGTGATGCAACGACTTGTTGTATAATCAGCTGATTTCCTGTAATTACGTGTTTGTTAAACTTCGTTAAATATTACATCGCTAGCAGTATTCTTACCATAAATAATATTGTATCAGGTACAATTCGGCAAATATTTCATTTATTTTTGGACTTCCACCAACTTAATTAAGAATACGCGAGTATCAACATGAACAAGTCAGATCAACAATTAAATTGGTCAACTGATCAGCTGATCAGCTGATTAGTTGACGTTCGAAGCATTACAATTTTAATTCTTTTCTCTCAATACTTGAACCTCATTGGTCCGTTACCTGTGTGGATATGAGAAAACTATGCGTATATGAAATGAAACTATGCGGATATGAAAGTAAACAGCTGTAAAGTGAAACTTTTCAATTCTAAGAACTGGACTGAAATGGCTACTTTAAAAAACGGTCGTAGGTAAATAAATTAACTCTTAAATAAACAGCTTTTTGGTGACCTTCAGAATTGGCTGAAAGCGAGTACATTTTCAGCCTCAGATTATAGAGATGATATAATTGTAATGTATTACAAACTTGGTATTAAATTAAAGGCCGGAATCTCCAGATTAAGATTATACCAATATTTAATAGTGTTAATGCCATTTTCAAGCTTTTATTAGTGAATAACTAAGTAAACACAAAATACGGGCAGCCATTTTGAAAAATGGCCGCCATTTTGGATTATAGCAACTTTAGGCAATGCCTCCCCATCTTATTTTAGTTGTCGGACCATAACCTACATTCATACCAAAAGGGGTTTTCTAATCACAATTTGCAGTTTTTATATACGTAGCTCCCCCACTATATGTAGGTTAAGGTGTGTGTTTAAACAACAAACTTCCCTATGTCAAAAATACTGTTTAACTTTGAAAATATGTTTTAACATTATGGCATCGTTCCAGAAACTAATAAAATTTTCTATAAACTAGTAAAGTTTCATTAACACACAGAAACAAGCACAGAAAAAAAAGAATAATAAAAGAGTATTAAAATCATACTGCAGTACCCAATGGTACAACAAATCTTATACATGACCACCTTCAAAAATCTTCCCACATGGGTTTTTGGGGCAGATAAATCAATACAAAATATATTGATGCTACACATAGAAATTTGGTAAATCTTCAGGTTCAAATCAATCAACAAAATTGTACTGTACATCCCAACACAACTGATTTTTATTTTACATATTAATCGACATCTACAGTAAGGCACCATTTGCTTAAGTTAAACTGACACAAGACAATAAATTCCTTGAAGACTGTAAATACATCCATGATTTGTAATGTAAGTTATGTTCATGATAACTCGATATAAGCATCAAGTTTGTTCGGATGGTTTGAAAATAAAAACAAAACATTATATGTAAAACTTATAATGATTTCCAAAATATTTTCCTTAATTTGCAATTTGTGTTTCTGATATTACAGTAAAGTAAATTTAAAACAACAACAAAGCAAAAATTGTATAACAAAGAGCTTTTTCTAAGTAAGGTATTTTGAACACACAAATTTGGTAACAATTATTTTAGTTTTAGTTTATAGACTTTTCCATGTGAACTGTTTTGACTACACTTCCTTTATGGAGGTAAGGAAACTTATTACTTGAAAACAGGACGACTGACTTTCCGAAGACTGACTTTCCGAAACGTAGTCTAGTCAAAACACTTGGCATATGAAAAGACCGTAACTAAAATTAAAATGGTTATCCTTCCCAATTATTAACATTAAGATTGTTATAAATATTTAACTTTATTAAATTTGAATTATACTATATAGTTTTGTCAGTTTTTCAATAGAGAAGTCATTCATTGAACATACCTCACGTTACGTATATTATATTTTACACAAAATGTTCTACAATTGTTTAAAACAATGAATGGTATTAAATACTAAGTAACTTATAACGATAAACTTTCTATAATAATGGAATGTCTGGTATCACAAAAGTCATAACAAGAATGTGTTACTAAATGAATGTCATGAATGCTTATACTATAAATTTGAGCAAACAAATGAAATGTATTGTGTAGTACAAACTAGTCTATGCGTTGTTTTTCAAACACAGAAAAATTAAACTTTTTTTCAGTACTCTAGACTTAAGATATGTAAATACAGTCTAGGTTAAGTACATGAAAATACCCTGCTATAACCATGATATCCTACTGATCACAAATCAATTTCAAAATTAAAAAGTCAAAGAAAAAATTCTTTCTAGTTTAAAATTTGACCCTAAATTTCTCATTATAACTACTGATTCGTGTAACACCAATTTTATCGTGTTACAAAACTATGGTATTGATTTACATTTCTGTTCGTAGTATAACATTGTTTTCGTTCAATCAACACAAATATTGATAAAATTTATAAAGGACTATTAAATACTTGTTTTTCTATACTTAATTTGTTCTTAAAAATATAAATTGAAAAAATAAATAATTCTAACCATAAAAGAGTATTATTTTGATCTAGACTTGACTTATTAAAATATGAGCATTTAAATAATAAATAAATAATAAAAGCTTTTGCACAACTTTTGAAGATGTTTAAAAATATATCAATGGCCTTTAGCACACAAAATAAACCATGTTATGCAAATTTATACCATTGAAAATAGAGAGATAGTTCCACTATTATTCTAAAATCATATCAACTAAGACTAATATACATAACATGAATTATTTTGATGTACGATTTGTGTTCAGTATGGTTTTTTTTTCGATAAGAAAGACATAAAAAATTAATAAATGTAACAATCAAGATATGTTTATGGTATTGTTGAAAATTTAATAAAGAACCAAACATTTTTATGAATACCACTTTCTTACCTCTTTGATCTTGATATTTGGGTAATTCCTTAATTTTAAGTACACAAATATACCTAGAAGTTATAAAAAGACACTGATATGATATCTGATATTAAAATGTCTTCTAAAAAAGGTTGACAAAATTTGTTCATACAAAAAACACTTTTATTGTAAATATTGAAAAAAATCAAAATTGACCAAAACATATGAAGGAGTAATTAGGCAGTTACACAATATGGCTTTTGACTACAACTGGGTCTTAAAATAATTTTAAGCAGACTTACAAAAGATTTAAGCAACTGAAAATTATAGGTAACTAAACTAAGCAATCAAACATTTGACATGCCTGATAAAGTAAATCAAAAGATTTTTATTGGAAGGGTGAGGAATTTTTATAAAAAAAAAACACATAAAATGTAATATGCAGTTCAAAAAACCTAAAAAGACATTCGACCCTTCTGTTTCTGCCATTAAATGATATGCCAATAAAATTCCCAAAGGATTGAAAGACTTTAAATCCTAACAAATGAAAGCGACTGAAATTAATCCACATATTTAATAACAGTAACTATATTTACACTACTTAGCTTAAAATTTGTCATTACATTTATATACAGTCTTAAAATTTACTAAAAAAACAATAACAATATACATTTAGTCCGAGTCACTGAACACGATGGCACTAACACGTCAGAGTCCTTTCAGTGGGAATGTATGAGATGGAATTTAAACAACTCAAACTTTATCAACAAATTTTCTAATCAAACGACTTTGCGGCAAACAATTTTATTATAACAACATCACTGTTAACTGACAGGATGTTTGATTTCTTTCCGAAACAGAAAATCTCAAACAATTTTTACAAACAATAACATTTATTAACAAAATGTTTAAAACATGTATAAATACTTCTACATAAAAAGTAAGCACAATGGACTGTTGTTCGACAAACATTTCAGTAAAAACGTTTTTAAAACTTTCGATATTTTAGGAAGCTTTTGTTCGTTTATTTGTCCTGGTTGCATTAGAGCTTGGTGGGGTCGTAGTTGTCGAAGTGCCAATGCTGTTGAGCAGACGACGGATTGCACTCTTCCATTAACAACTTCTGTTTGTTGTCTGTGATCGCTAGACACTTTTTGCTGCTGCCGTGCTGGATCAGCTTCGTCTGAAAAAAACAAGCACAGTTAAAATTAATAGTTCTAAATCGCTGAATAAATGTGTCGTAGGACTAATTGATTGATATAAAGATCACAATATTTTAAACTCTCTTAAGTACAGTGTCGTTCAAAGCGAGAATGTAGTGGCTTCAGTGCGAGCATCGCTGAGTAACTCTTTGTACTTCGTATAGTGTCAACAAAGATGTCAAGAGGACCAAGAAACAGGGAAAACATTTTGAGATGATTTGAATTTTGAATGAGACTAGGCAATATAAAATCTGTTCATTAAATATTGCAACAGTGTTTACAGTTGTTGTTACCATGGCAGAAACAATCAAGATGTTGCAATACTAGCTGAATATGACTGTAGATGTTACAACGTGTGAAACTATCACGGTGTGTTGCTACTGTGGCAGTGACCACAAAAAAGATAGAATTGTTAAAGGGTGATGCCCCGATTCTAGTATAAACAGATTTGAATATGATTGAATGATTTGGATTCTCTGAACTTGTTTTGATGTAGTTGACTACATTTTCTTTTTTTAACGTTGCAACTACAAGAAAATCACAATTGCAGGAGAGGTGAAAATGGATATTTCCACAATCAGATGATTGATCAGCTGATTTCTATGTCAACATGTTTGCAATGGGTGCTCATAGATGTTACCGTTACCTAAATAACTACTAACTTACGACAATTTTTCTAACCCACCTCAGGTTTGTACTGCCAAAACTGATTTCCCTTGGATCCGTGACATGGGTAGAGTATCACGTCCTGGCCTGCGTAGTCCAAACACGCTTCATCACGTCGGATCTCGCCAGCTTTGCTCAGCATCCAGTACTACCAATCAGAAACATGTTAAACATAAACCAAAATCAGGAAGGTTTTCAAATACAATCACTAACAGCATTGTACACATCTTAATGAAAACTATCAATGAAAATAGTAACAATAATATTGGACCAAAAGGAGTTAGTATACATTTTGTGCTCATTTCAAGAAAATGAGACTTTTTAGATAAAATTTTTTACAATAATTTCAAATTGAATGCTGTAGAACTTTTCAGGCCCATTTGTATTTTTTTTTATGAATTGTCAATAGAAAACGTTTTCGACAGGTGAATCTACCACTTTAGACAGGGCTTCAAACCCCAGCTTACAATTTTATCACATAGTTAAGAACGACCGGAGATTGACTTTGCCATAATGCTTAAAAATCAATTAAATCATGATACAAGGCATACTAATACATAAGAAGTAGCATTGCCAGTTCTAGCACTACTCAATGCAGAACATGTTCTGGTCCGTTGATTTATATTTAATTACGGTCTCAGTGTAGGGAATGCATCGTAAAGTGACTCCAAGTCATAAACAATAATGAGTATCATCAGAGGGTACGAGGATGGCAAGGTTTACGATTTGGCACACCAATAAAACATGTTCCAGAACTGCTCGTAAAGTCGGCAGTCCAAGGTGCTAATTAGAGCTCTGGTCATCCCATGTTTGAAACTACTTTTTACTTTAACTTTAAATCGAAAGACCTTTTCATTTTTAAATTACATTCTGTATGATAAAACTAAAATATGATGAATTTCCGCTGAGTCATACAGACTTTTAAGGCGGCTCATGAATACATTTTATTAATTCCAGTTGACTGGTTTGGATCAAAATACATTTTGACTAAAAAAATATAGATATTAGAGGGATTACTTTATACTAATCCTCAACCATCTTTGGGTTAGCATTGTTAGTTATTATGAGGTAAGTAACAAATAGAATGTTAAACTACATTTAACATGAAACGCAAACAATATACACAATCTAGGAAACTTTAGTGAAATGACATGATAAAACTGATTCTAAATAGTATGTAGTTAATATAAGTTACAATTTCACATTGTTAATAAACCATATCTAATTGAAGTAGATGTTAAAGTTTACTGTAATATTTAACTGAATCTAACTAATTCAAACTAGTGTGGGCTATACCCGGTGATTTCATCTAGATACGCTAATTAATTGAACAAAACCACACTTGACAAAGTGGACGACACAGACAAACTATAAACATACATCAAAGCAACATTCCTCCACCAGTTCTGTTAATACGCCAACATGGTAGTATTTGTTACCGTTAGTGGTCTACGGTAAGCGGTAAGCGTTTAGACCGGACATTACCTGGTTACCGCCCTGTTTGTGGCATGGCCACAGGCCGAGGGGTTTGTGCATGTCTTCCGGCTTACACGCAGAATCTAGACACTGGCCTGACCACATGTTTCCGATCTATTGAAAACTCAACAATATGAATACTAGCGATTACAAAATTCTTATGTTTCTGCTCACTGGAGATTCCGGTTCTTAAGCTGAAAAGGTTAGACATATTACAAAAATGTCTTATTTGATGTTTCGTAACACACAAATTTGATCCGTTTGGAGTCCAAGAAAATGTTCATTGGTCAAATAAACCAGAGAGAACGATAACTGGCAATAAAAACCAACAGAGTGTCCTTTCCAGAGACATAAGTTATTTTTTATCATGAAAAACAGATCAATGAGCAGTTTTACGCTCTTATCCGTGCGTGATTTCAAACATCAAATAAGACTGATCATCACCAAACTGCACTGGTGACACACCTGATTTCCGCCCATTTTATGACAAGGGTAGAGTCCCACGGCCTTGTGCAGATCTGACTTGCGAGCCGGAGAATCCAGACATGTTTTCCCTCCGTAACCTAAATTGCGAACCTAAAACAGCGTAAATGTTTGCAAACAATTCCATAGAGCTGGAAACCATGTTAGGTTGCTGTGGCGATTTAACGTGTGATTTTGCTAATGGAGTTGGAGATAAAGAATGAATCTAAAACTGAATAAAACTGGAGAAATTGTATTGAAGGATAGAAAGATTAAATGATGTAGGATAGAGTTAGGTGAGAATAGCTTTAAGAGTTGTTCAAAGGTTTATTGCTTACATTTTCCATCACGATAGTAAAAAAAAAAAAAAAAAAAAAAAAAAAAATACGATGGGAAAGAAGAGGTTTAAGAGGAAGAGAATATAAAACAACATTGGTAAGTTGGAAATCTGGTGGGAAGAAATGAAAAAGTGGGGAGGAAAATAGAGTTGATGATAAGGGAAGAGTACTGAGAGAAAAAATTATATTACTAAGGGCTAGAAACTAGGATATAATTAGGAATGAAGAGATCAAAAGAGGAATAGATGAGGTTAGCTATAAGGAGAGAAAATAAAATAAGATTAAGGTTTTTTGAACATCTGGAGGGAATGTGAGGGGAGGAAATTGGAATTGGCATATGATAGAGATGATAGAGGGAAGAATACTTAAAGGAGAACTTAGAAGAAGGTATGGATGAATGGGATGAAGAGGAATATGTCGAAAAAGAGAGTGATAGAATAGGAGTTGATAGGGAAACTTAGTTGAGGTGTGTATGAATATCACAAAAGTCTTTCAACAGAGCTTTAGTAATGATGTAAAACATTTTAAAAACCTCAAACACCTAAAAAACTGCCCTGAAAATATAAATGTCAGTGACCTTTACTCAACATCTTATTAAACCGCAAACTTTTTAGTTGTGCTTACCAATTAAATCTCAAAGAATCTGATGAGGTCTTTGTCATTTGATATTGTTGAGAAAATTCTTGATGGAAAAGTTTCATGTGACAAGCTCCTCATTAAGTTTCAAAGCAAACATTGCATCTCTTAAAATATCTGTACCGTATCATAACTAATTACAGGCACTAATTAAGAATTTGCCAGTTAGTTTACAAGTTAAAACTTGTATTAGAAAAAACTTATAACATACATTGAGAGGTGTACTTATTTCAATAAGTTTAAATCCTCATATTGACATTTTAAAACCAATAGCAGGTCAACAAAATATAACTCTATCTTAAAATGAAATTTGTGTATTTTTCAAAATGAAACCGAAATAAACACTACAGATTCTTAATATTTCCATCATCAACTAAATGTGAACCCATCAGTCATGTTAAAGTGTAACATTTTACACATTCTCCAAGTTTTACCTAATTTTTTATTGAAAAACTATAAAGTACCTATAGTTACAATAAAATAAATGGAAACTAAGAATTCTTTCTAGTGCTAAAAACTGCTTAACTCGAAATAAAAATTACAGAAAGTAAAATAATGGTTGCATCGAAAAGCAAAATGAGAGTATTAGGCAGAACTCTGAAATAAGTGACATTGATTGAACGTGGACACTTGTGGCTCGGATCATCGATGAAGTGCCACAATAATGAGTAACAATATCCCTACCTCTCCGGATGCCACAGCCTCCCCAGGGATAAACAGTTCCGGATACACAGTATCCAGGTACCACCTGAAGGACTTGCAGCCTAGTTTTCGTCTTAGCTCTTTGCGAGCACTCACGTCACCAAAGTCTCCCTGGAACATGAAAAGTTTGTTTAACTATCAAGGAAACCTGGAGGTAACTTCACAAACAGTGGGTAGGATTATATTAAAACACTGCAGAATATTTGTCCTTTGTCATAGCTTGCCGAGTACTGTTAAACCGCAAGAACAAAGTATAAAATTTACAGAGGATTCTGACCTAATACAGGGTAAAATGAAGGCAGTTGGATGGTGAGGTTAGTTTGGTGTTGCTGATCTGAATTGCCTTTTATTACAATCATTTTTGTTACCGATTTCAAATTCTTCTGCTAATTTTGACTTAAAGAGCTTCAACCAAGTGACCAAGTAACAAACATGTTTTTAGTCTGTTTACTGTAGGTACTTTGTGACAGTTTCTATTTTGTTAAAAACAAACTTTCAATGACAGTTCTTCTAAATATTTTTGTTGATGCATTTTCTTAATTCTTTTAGTCGGAGTACATTACTTTCTTATCATTGCGTAGGGTAAATTTACAAATGAATACCTACCAAACTTAGCTGTGCTTTTAGCTATCACTGAAATATTGGACAAGTTCAGCTTGAACATTTGAAAACAAAACTCGCAAAAATATCAACCATTTTAATGTTTACTCTCTTGAAAAACCAAAAAGCAAACCGAGGTAAATTGATTGTTGGTAACATTAGAGGCGACAACGTGATGGAACAAAGTTACTCGGTGAGCAGTTAGCTGAAGCTAAACTCTGGTAATACGAAGCCACGTCGAGTTTGGTTAATGCAGTCACCCTAAGCCTGTGTCTTGTAACATTAACATCAACATTTACATTAACATTAACACAATACACAGGTTGAGTTGAGAGAGACAATCTTAGCTCGGTAGTTTAGTCAGCCACACAATAGATTGAGAATTACTTCCACGCAATAAAGCACTTTGTATGTTGTTGTTAAATTAACCCTGGATAGGTAATTTAGTTAAACTAGTGTCCCTGTTGCTCGAATTCGAGCAATTGCTAAGTACTACAGGCGTTATTATAAATCGAATAACAGTCATAATTTCTGATGACTCTAAAAAAATCGACTCAAAGATTATGGAAATACTCAAGATGTACATAACAGATCGATATAATCAACATTTCTTGTAAATATCTTATCATTTTTCAAAAGCTGATCTTGTTTTTTATTGTTTTCTACAAATAGCCTTACTCATAGCCGCATTAGGTTGTCCATAATTATGATTATAAAAAAAACATTATTTTCATTTCTTCTCCTTGGGTGTGTTCTATGACTTTCCTATGTTTCCATAGTTTGCAAATCGGCTCTTTCAATGATTACTAAGATATGCAGCACAGTGTTAATTCAGTTTTCTTTTTAGTATATAAAATTATCTGGGCTCTCTCGTTTTTTTCCAATGTAATACTTACGCCAACCCAAATTGAAATAGTAAATATTTTATTTCAAGCAAGTCAGTAAATGTTTGTAGCAAACTGTTAAATTCGCAAACTTATTGACTTTTTACAATTAACATATGTTCTTCTTCTCACTTTTAATTTCTGACAACAGCTGCAGTTTCATAACAATTTTGGTTCCCATGTTAATCTTATGGAGAAATACGAAACTTTAAAGGGCTTCAGGGCCTCACTCTCTTATTATTTCCCTAAAAAGAAAGTTTCCTGCACAACTTCACGTTACGCTCTTTCCAATGACACCAAAAACACGTCAATCGGTTCAGTAGTTTCGGAGGAGTAATTGTCACAAAAATCGTGCTTGCGTATTAAATAAGTAAATAGATTTGACATCTACGAGGTAAAATTAACGCTTTTTTAAATAATAAAGTATTATCTGTCCATAGTGCTATACCAGGTCATTGCTCGGCAGAAGTGTTCAGATATGGTAGATATAGTATCGTGGATAGATTTAGATTGTTTGGTTACAAATTTAAATATAATATGAGACAGCTGATGTCAGAAAGACGTTGCGATGACAATCATGTTCGCTTGGATTATGAAAAAAATTTAAAAAATCAAAATAAAGTTAATTACAGAATATTCAATTTGAAAATTATTTTCATTGCTGAAAAGTATGAAAATCACATCAGTAACTATACCATTAGAGAGTGTGACCCTTTCAGATACATAATTCATTTATCAGCCCAACGAAAAATACTGTATAGGTAAATTAAACACCTACTCATATTTTATGTCCACGCAATAAGGATTTAATTTACTGCCGTACTGTTTGCTTGTTTACCAATGACAACGGAATTTTTGTACAGAGAAACTCAAATGAACTTATAGGCAATCAGTCCTAACCCTTTAATTTTTTTGCGTTATCTAGAAAGTTGAACTCTTCATTCTCATCTCCTAAGTAATTAATCCACGTAGTTTCTTGTTCAATCCACAGACTAATTGAGGAATCTCACCCTAATACAAAAAAATCCAAAACCTGAAAAGCAGCTTACCAGGTCATTTCCAACCCTCTGATAGTAGTATTTGGCGTATTCATCCATCCACACCTCGGCCAATCGGATGGAGTTTCTCTTGAGCACGTTGACGCCCGTCCTCCACTTGTACGGCGATCGCTTGCGGAAGATGTGACCGACGTGGGAACACGGGACTATCTCTAGGGTTCCTCCACACATCCAGGTCTGTAAGATATGATACATTAGCTTCCACAAAGATCCAACTCATTATGAACTGAGAACTTTAGCCTTTTGGTCTTCAAGTAACATCTTGTCGACCAACAGAATTACATGTTGATCAGCTGATTACATGATCAAATTGTAAACAGCTGATTAGTTTAGATTAGAATTAACACCAACAGAATAAATTGTGTATTTTAAAAAGGTGAATAAAGGATTATTGGTGAAAGATACCCTTGATACTGACTAAAATCTGCCAGATCTTTAGCCAGGAACATTTACTTAGCCCAGCAATCAAGAGCGGCTTCAAACCAGTTCACAGTAGACTAGTTGAAAACCATTAAATAGGCAATAAAAATATCACACAATAGCATTAATAAGGATACAAAAGGGCATTATACAAAATTTCTTATATAATGCAAATAAATTTCTAGAAGACTGAAATAACAAGATTCTAATAAAAAAATGTGGATAGAGTGAACCCATAGACAAAAAGTGTTATGGTTAGTATCACAGTATTTACTTACAATAAGTCATAAAACTAACTATGTTTTTTTAGGCAAGATAGTGAAAATACCAGTTTAACTTTAGCGTTACATGTATCTGCCCTATAGGCTTACAACTCCTGGAAAAACACACAGATCAAACTAATTTTATATGGTTGAAGGGCGAACTTATTTCTTTTAACATTGACAAATTGTACTTGTACACTTACAACTGTTGACAAATCCTACCTTGAAAGATAGTTCGAGATTCTCGCCACCCCAGATGTCGAAGCCGCTGTCGTAGGTGCCGAGCCTCTCGAAGAACTCCTTGTCTATGCTGAAGAGGCCCCCCGCCATGGTGGGGCTGTGGACAGGCTCTGCGGGGTCCTTGTGGCGCTTTCGCTCTCTCTCCGGCACCGCGTGCCAGTTGAACTGCAGTCAGAAAAAATGTTAGTGCCATAAAACAATGTTTTTGAAGAAAAGGCTTAGGAATACATCATGGAAGAATGGATGGACACATAACTAACTTACTGATGAAAAAAAAAACTTCAGGTAGTGGATAGCAAATTCATTTAATATTTCGCCCCTACAAGGGGGCTGCTTCAGAAGTAAGTAGGCTAATGGAATCAAAAATAAGAAAGTAGTAAAAACCAATGATCTAACTGATTATATTGTAAACTGGTTGGAGTCAACTGCCTGAAGTTCTTTTCTTCGGTAAGTTAGATGTTACGTTACGATCCTTCTTCCATGTAAGTGACATAGAACAGTGAAACCCAATATATTTTTCTGGTGCACCACTTCACAAGTTGAAAATAATTGTGTATTCTATTTAATCTTGTGGAGCTAGTTATGGATTAAATATTTTTATTAAATTGCTAAATGGTGTTTTGGACTATAAACTAATACTGAAATACCAACTTTTAGTTTATGGACTTTCTCATATGATTTTTTATGTTTTTTTTATGAACTAAATGTTTTGACTAGGCCCTAAACTACGTTTCGGGAAGTAAGGAAACTCCTCTTTTTTCAATGAGTGTAGAAAGCTTTGTCGATTTATTACAAAACAGCAACAACTATTATTCAATAAAATTTTATAAGATTTTATTTTCAGTAAAAAATAAAATAATAAAAACGAAAACGAACAAAGTTGTGTTCCTAAACTAACAAACTATTTAAACAATCAGATAACGTTTCTGTTCTTTTTTTTGGAAAAGATTGAAGTGGAACTGGCATTTAACTGAGGAAATTATCTGGTAAAAGATTAAATCCGTAAAGGAGAGTATTATAAACAAAGGCACTTAAAGCTCCTGTTCAGCACAATGGAAAGACTGGGTCACTGCAGAGCTGAGTAAAGGTAAAAGCCTTTCAACTTCTCAACTATAGACTTGTGCTCTGTATGCTCGATTGAAACTGATTTGTAACTTGTCCAGACAAACTGTTTTGATTAAACTAATCGTTGTTGCATGACAATTGAGAGTTTAAAGCACTTTAAACGTACAAAGTAAAAGTTTTAGTGAATAAATTGCATTGAGAAGTTTGGCTGTTCAAGAACTAAGGACCTTTAAAGTTTAGTAAAAGCAGATCGGTATGGTTGATTTGCTATTTTTATTTAACAGTGCAGTATATTTAAATATTGTTTACGTTTGAACATCCACATTTATTTATTGAATAGATAATTATGGTCTTTAAAAAACACTTGGCAATGTAGGAGCTAGAAGTAATAACTGAAATTATGAGGATATTATTTCAATAGCACAGTACCATCCCAACCAATGAATCTTATTTTAAATTACTCAGAAATATTATATCAGTTTGACTTACCTTGGATGAGGATGGGACTTAAAGTACATGGAGAATGAAATTTCCTGAACTAAGAATAATAAAATTACAACAGCTATCTTTGCACAAACTATGAATAAAAGTTCTCAAACGGTTTAAAAATGGCTGATATTTGAAATATTTGATGTTAAATTCCACAAAATTTGTTAATTGTACAAAAAAATTTCAGAATACATCGCATTTAGTATAATTTATGCAGATTTCAACGATATCTTATAAACTTAGTTAGGACAAAAAATAACTAATAAATTAATATCTTTGTTAAACAATGGTAAAAAATACAAGCCCAAACATGTATTTGGAAATTTGAACATACATGGTTTTAACGCAAATTGTTATAAAAACATTTTTACTTATATTTTGACCGAAAAGAGTCATTACAGAAATTATGTCCCCACCTTTTTTGAACACCCTGTACAGAGGATTAAAAGAATGAAGTCTCAATTAAAAAGGTAAAAATAGTAAAATAATAATTCAAAAAATATGTATATTTCACCTCTAGTTTCTGCACAACTAAAGATTTAAAAATCAAATCCTTTAGAGCGGCGAGCAAAATGTGAATGTGCTTAAGAATCTTTCTCCACCATTAATCGCTTTTGTTATTTTGTACAGTCATCTTTTCAAAATTGCTCTAATTTAATATTATATAAATTTTCAGAGTAGAAGAGTGGTGGGGGAAGTTTTCTGTCTCTCTTGCACTACAATTGCTTCACGCCATCCTAACTGACAAAGTTTTTTTGTGTTTTTTTGTATTTTTTTATTTTTACTATTATTTTTTTACTTTCTAGGCCTGTTGCACAGAGGACACTTGTACCACCTCCCACTACTAACTATACATACTTTACCTGCAAATTCCAACTGAACCCCCCAACCTGGGGTTCATGGCTCCAAGTCACTTCGAACGTGTCGTCATTGATGTTCTCTATGATGGGACAGACCACGTTTGTAGGGTTTTCTGCTATTCGGCCCAGCAAGGGCTCCAACCAGCCTAAACAATCCCACTATAGACTACTTCTACCCCAAAATGTGCAGTTAGAGTAATTTACAAAATGAGATTAAGAAATTAAAATATTGCTGTTATTGTTGCAAAATACGTAAAAAATATTTTTTTTTTTACATTTCACCAAACATTTTAAACGCTTTTTTCATCTACGATAATCATTTTCATGATAATTAAATTAGTTGCTACATTAGAAAAAAGACCATTAAGGCAAACTCAAGTGTCAAAAAAGTGAACAAAAATAACAGTATTGTAAAAATAATTAAAAAAAGAGTGAAAATCAATAAAACAATAGAAAAATAACTAATAGGGTTTAAATTACCAGGGTTATGTCAAAATGATCGTTGGTAGTTCGTTATTACAGTTGTTTTATGCCGTCAAAAAAAGAGCATATCTTCAGGTCCAAATCTCTTGCTAACTAAATTAGCAAGAGATTCGGCCTGGAAGTTGTACTCCATTTTTGACAGCAACAGCTGCAGCCGTTCTATACTACAGTAGCAAGGACCGTTTTTGACAGTGAACAGGTAATTTAACCTCTATTAGTTAATTTAGACGATTCAGAGGCCATTCCATTATAAAATTAGAAAATAAATTTTATTCAAATCACAAAGAGTTTTATTTTACTTGACCCACGTTAATGTTGACTATTATATAATATTAACAATTATATTCAAAAGGCTAAAGAAAATCGTGACAAACTTGTTTTTAGAAAGTAAGTCCAGCAATATTTTATAAAAATGTATAAATTAAAAATAAATTAAATAAGTAACATTGAGGTTTTTTAACAACATGGTGAAAATAAAATGTTGTTACAATTTAAAATCCGCGCCAATTCAATTTAAAACCAAACGGTGTTTCCGTTCTTTATTTAGTTAATTAAGAAGCGGAGAAAATCAACCATAAGCCTTGGTAATATAAACTGTTTAAGAAGTAAATGAGCTTGAAAGGAGCTTATATTAAAACCCATCTACCTGAAAGCTTGTTTTACCCCCAGCCTCACTAGCTTTAAAAGTATAAAAGGGTCTTTTGTTGGGAAATTCAAATAGCAGCTCTGGAAATATACCTTTGTCCTTCTACCAGCTAGTGTAGAGCCCCGTATAGTTTTATATAAAATATGCATTTTCCTAAAATTTATTTATATTTAAATCTCTCTACCTTAGGGAAGCTTGGTAGTATGGATGAGGAACTTGTAAGTTTTTGAATTATTTCTAAATGGAATGTCCGTTGAAAATTAAATGAGTGAGTTGAACTTATTATTTTGGGGTAAATAAAACTTCAAAAAATACCTTGAAACTTGTTTTTATTTCCTCCATTCTGTACTATGCTTTGTTGTCTGTTGTAAGTCTACAGCCTTTGTTTTATTATTCTTTTATTTATTGTTTGAAAAAATATTCATAACTTTTTGTGCTAAATGTTGCTTAAAAATCGTGTGTATTTTATTTTCGAAGGCAAATGTCTTGTCCACCAAAACAGACCGGTTGTTTATCAACTATTGTTTATGTTACTCCAAGAAGTGTTATGTTACTCCATGTACATAGTTTACCTTCTTATTTTTTATTTCATTAAATGTCTCTATCTGCAAGAACCTCTCTCAGCTGTCATTTCCCCCCCCCCCCTAAAGTTTGGGAACTGATATTTAACTAAACAAAATGTATTCAGCCTTCAATGTTTGAGACTCTACAGTAAAAACTCTTAGTGAAAAATTTCTTTTAAAAAATAAATTAAATGATAGGTGTAAATTGGCATACAAATTAAATTTATATAGACGACCAATAACACAATTAATTCACAAAACAACACATATTGCAAAAAACTGTATTTTTTTCAAAAAAAAAAAAAAAAAAAAAAAAAACACATAAACAAACAGATATACCTAAAAAAAACTCATTAAACAGTTGTGAACACATTCTCAAATATAGAATAACAACAAAATCTGTTCACAGAGAAACGAAATCCTCTTTGAAGAGGCAGTGTGTTTTGAGAAGCCCTACACATTGAAAGACTCTATCTGATCAGATTAATCTGTACTTCATTTCAAGGGCTTCCCTTCCCTTCCTCCACTTTTATGTTATATGAGGGGGTTAACAGATTGAGGGAAAACATCCAACAGAAGGCGGGGTTATTATCTCCTTTGAAAAAACTTTCCCATTATTTACTAATGTTTACCTTTAAAATGAAACCTTGGTTTTCACCAAATGTTTATTCACTGTGGTTTAAGAGAGTCTACTTTTTGATGAAATTTAGATTCATTCGATAGAGTATTAAATTTAATAGGTAAGGTGGTTTTTAAATATTTTCTATGCAAAAACACGATTCAAACTAATAAAGTAAAGTATGAGGATATTGTAAGAAAGTGCTTTGTATTTTAAATTATTAAACTCTAAGATATTTCTTTGTTAAATATTCGTTAGAACTTCCATTGTTTAATGATTAAAGAAGAAAAATAAAATATTTACAGTGATGAAAACCGAGAATAAACAGTTGAAATTAAATTGGCCACTTAAAACTTTCTACCTGGAAACTGAGTCTTTTAATTCTTTCCAAGAACAATCAATTAGAACTAATAAGAACATTCTTTTCTTTTCAAGAAGCACTTTTGAATAAACCTTTTTAATATTTACTAATATTAAATTTGTTTACTTTTAAAATATAAAACTTCTTAGTATAAATTTAAAATTATAGTTTAGGTTCAAACACATTATTCTCTTCCGATCATGACATTTGGATTGAAATAAAACCACACGCTATAAAAACAATTGGATGAATGGTTTTTAATTTCAAAAAAGTAAAAAAAACTGAGTTTTATATCTCTGCTTCTCAAACAAATCGATGTAGACAGTTGGTTTAAACATTTCATTTACTGAAGTTTGCCACTGAGTGTGAATGTGTAAATTTGTATTATTTTGCACATCAATCTGCCATAAGAAATAGTTGTAGCATATTATGTAACATATATGCAAATGTTTCTTTAATTAAGAAAATAATAATCTAAATAGTTAAAAACTCTACAAAAAAATCCTACAAGTCACAGTAGTATATACAGTAATCTGCATTCATATTATATTTAATCAGATTTTGCCGACAACACTACATAGCATAGAGTTTGAAAACATCCAGTAGTCCTATTCCATTTATTTTTAGATAAATTACTAAGAAACATACTTAAAAAAATAAAGATTTTACTACTAAAATTATTTTCTCATATTAAGACATTTGGTTTAACTTTTCTTTCCCCTCATAAATTGTACAATAGTAAAGGGTTGTGGTAGAGAAGCAAATCAATGCCACAGAGGGTCTTGCCTCAGGCTAGCAGACAATTGGATTGTCAGGTGAGGGGGGAGGTTTAGGGGGGGAGGAAGACCTTACAAGTGGTGCTTTGATTAATCTGATCAGGTTTACATTTTATCTGCTAAAGGGCTCAAGGGTTTCTGCAAACAGACTTTGCCTCTGCAAACGGTTTTTGGACAGAGATATACATACAGGGTGTCCCCAGAGGTTGATATTTTTGAAATTATATACCAGAACAAGGAACACGCTACTTGAAACTCTACAGCTACAACAAACACATAAAAAACACCTGCAAGTCTCACTTAATTCCGACAAAAAAATGGTGGAAAATCAAAATAAATTAGCGTTTTCTTTAAAGTAATTTTGTTTAAAAAACCACGTCAAACTAATCCTTGATAAAAAAAAATATTACTGAAGTAAAGAAAACTGAAGTAATTAAAGAGATTGTTTAGTGGTAAATTAATGAAAATGTATTCATAACCTTTGATATCTATAAATGGCTATGTACTATTTTTGTCACATTAGCAAACGTTTTAGCTAATTTTGTTTTTATTTTAAAGCTCAGGCAACTCAGGTGTATTTTTTCAATTGTATTTATAATAACTGTTGAGTTTCAATATTGTAGCATATTACGGCTGATATATTTATTAAATATGGAAACCTCGCTCTGGGACACCCTGTAAGCGTGTAATGTTCTCAGGACACATACTGAAGAAAGTGATTTAACATTCAATAAATGTTAAATTTATTGGATGAAATATTCAACATCTCGCGTTTGAGAATATTGTATTTACAAACTACATACGTTAACCAGTATTTGTTCAAAATGAAAAATTTCAACAAGCTTTCACAAGGATAGGTATACAACAAAAAATAAATATCTGAAATTAGGCTCAGTCTTACAAAATATTCTATTGTTTCTCTTTGACCAATAGTCATTGAAAAAACTTTGTGAACAAAAATCATTTACCCAGGTACTAATAAAATAAATAAATTAACAGAAACCTAAAAGTTGATATAACAAACATGTTTATATTAGTAGATGCTTGGTTTTGTATAATCATAATTGTGTATGTGTATTTCATAAATGAACATCATTTGTGTAAAGTGACATGTTTTGTACAATGACAAAGTTGATTAGTGTAGATGAATACAATTAATTAGTCCCACAAAAAAACAAACAAACAAAACAAAAACTGCAAGCAATTAATAAGCAGATTACAGCAAAACAAACATAATTACAAAACAATATTTTACATACCTGGATAAGATGAATGTGAGGTGGCATACAACTAGTTTAAGTAATATAAATAAATACTTACATTTTGTCACTGTGATTGTAGTTGACCAAGTCCGACTGTTTTGAGCTTACTTATATTTTAAATATAAGAACATGTTGTCAACTACTCAGAAATTTTGTCAGATACATTTTAAATTTTAGAGGAAGTATAAGAATCACTAGACGATATCAATGTAAATTTACCTCTTATCTATAAGTGATTCAAGACTATACAGAAATGAAAAGTCAAATTTTAATTGTGGCAGAAACTAACTTTTTCATCTATCCTTTGTAAGCTACGAAGTGAACTAGTTTACTTTTGAAAAATCTCAAGACTGTGAAAAATATATAATTATATACATTTTGTTTTGGATAATTTTTTTAAAGTTAATAAATACCTTAAAATAATGTGTTGTATAATGGTCCTCTATAAAATTTTCAGGCATTATTTTATCGATATAAAACTACAAACACTTAAAAAAGTTTGAAATTAAATAAAAAGAAGAAAGAATATTATTTTAAACATTAGCTTACGTTGAAGTTACGTTAGTTAAAAGTATGTGAATATTTAAAGGACCTTTCCATCGTGACTGGGAATTGACAAAATGCCACTATTCTATTTAGTTTTTTACTACAAAATAATTTGTGTAACCACATATTGTTAACTACGAGTATTTTTTTGCATTTTCAGAGTTTAATATGCAAACAACACTTGTAAAACAAATCCAATCAACCAGCCTAATTAGTCAAATCGCTTGTTACACATTTCCAAAGAATCGAAGATGAACCAACCAAGTATCAGTTGCAGACTGGGTTCTTCAATCTTCAAAAGCGACTGATTCCCCCTCTTTTATTGAGCCCTTCAGATACAAATTCAATGAAGAAGTTTGTTATTCACTAGTTACGAAGCTTCCATTGAAATTCATGAAATGACTTTTTCGACTCCGTGACAAGTTGGAAGTGTTCAAAGGGGGCAATGCATAAATTTGTAAACTTTACTTTTTCAATACATTTCATAGATATTGAGACACTTTTGGCAACCCTTTCACAAACTTGAACGTGGAAGTTTTGACTGACTACTCAATAATTATTTAATCATATTTTTTTGGAAATCATTTCTCTCTGACTAAACAAAAAAAATTAAATCGTGTACTTTTTGTACTTAACAAAGTAGTATACAACGCTGAGGCAAAGGGTTTTTATTAAGTCAGTGACACAATTTGTAAGTAGTTGACAACTTGTTTCCAATGTAAAAGTACAGTGTTTATACAAAGGAATTAGTTTCGCTTGAAGTGTAGACACTTAGAAAAAAATGCATTTTTGTCATGTAATGTACTGTACTACAAAATATAGAAACAAATTTTGGATAGGCTGATGGTACTTGCATTTGATAAAACGATGATTTACATGACATGTATTTTAATTCTTACAAATTAAATGTAAATGTTCCAAATTTTAACTACTAATGAAAATTAAAAACCACTTCTCGAAAACATTTAAGAAAGATTATTATTTGTCAAATCCAACTATAGTCTATATTGACAATGAATATTGAAGAAGCAGCTAAATGACAAACGTCTTCCATTTATTTTATTTACCTAAAATGTCGAGCAGCATTAGAGATCAAATTATACGTAACAAAGTATTATTGATGGAAAGTGTTCCAATCGGAAATAAATTCAACAAATAACTTAACCATTTCAAATCACGTTTTTAAATATTACACTGGTGGGAGTAAAACCTATTGAATTTCTTTAAGAATCAATAAAATTTAATCAGATGGGATCTAGTGAATGCAAAGTTGATATTACAATTTCTATTCAATTCGATTTGATAACTATTATAGCATCTACAAGGCCGCGGCGTTGAAGTGTGGCAACGTCGCACCCTGCGAAGACACACTATTATGAATGCTGTGACGGTTATTACGGCAGGCCGGGATTGCGGTGTTGCCACATTTCTCTCGCCGCGGCCTTGTATTAGAGGCCACGCTCCTTCAATATCCATAATCTTCGGTCTCTAGTCACACAGAGAGGAATCAGAGGGCACTTTGTGTGTTGTGCTCTGTGACCTCTGACCTCTACAGAGGCCATTGTTACCTGTAGGTTCCAGTCGAAGCCCCCAACATTGACTCCACCCGAGTCCCGCCAGTGGTACTCCAATGTCGTGTCGTCGATGACGTCAATCACAGGACACACCACCGTGGTCGGGTCCTGCGCTATCCTGGACAGAAGCGGCTCCAGCCACCCTGACACAACCACACCCACACAGTTACTCACACATTCCCCGGCACCCACACCCAACGGGGGAATTTAGAATCAGTTTACAACAAACATTGTTAAACAATTGAGTTTCAAAGTCCAATTTTTGGTAAACCGTACTATAATGCTTGGTCATCGTGCATACGAGGGTTCAACTTGAGTTTACACCTAGCTTTTGAGATTATAGTCTATACAAATCATCCAAGGGGGAAAAATTGAAAAAAAAACTACTTGACAAAACTATTTTTTATGTTTTAAAATCCCTTTCTTAGTCAACCGACCATAGAAAACTGCACTATGATGCTCAATCATCACACATAACTTCATTCATCACTTGTTTTTGAGCTTTCAATACAAATAATCTACGGGGTAATTGTAAATTGGTTGACAGAAAATTTTTTAAAGGTTTTAAAATCGTATTCTTAATATAACGACTGAATACTTGTACTTACATGCAAATTCATTGTGCGTGCATAGTAGGGTTCATCTTTATTTTAAGCCATTTTTAGCTAATAGTCAATATAAATGATTTATTGGGGAAATTTAATAAACGTTCAAAGAAAACTTTATTGAAAATATATCAAAATTTCCATTCTTGGTAAACCGGTTGCAGATCTATGTTAATACACTTTATATTGAATACTAACGATCAACTTTGTTCCACACGTTTTCTGAACTAACTAAAGCTTTTATATGTATAAAAATTAATGGGAACGACAAGGGTTTTTATAATGTTGTGAATTTGTATTTGGGTGAAATAAATAGATTTTAGTTTAGTACTGAATTGCATTTTTCTCTCTCAATAAATTAAATAAAGAAAATGCTCAGTAATAAGAGTAGCACAAGGGTAAAAGAACCTAGGATCTAAAGACAGAGTTGGGATACCTTTCCGTCTTCTCTGTTGAAGATTTGATGATGAAACCACGTCAAAACTATAGCCACCAGAAATTATAAAGATTGATCCAAAACATGTAATATAACCTATTGCTTTTTATATAGATTTAAAATCCAGGAGGCAAATAATACGAAAAAAAAAACAATAAACTATCATTGAAATTTCTCAATGTCACTGATATTATTTCCAACCAAGAAAGGTTTAAGTTATAGTCTGTATGATGGAACTTGTCTCCTAACCCTCTGTCGCCCTCGGGACTGACTAATGGTTTGAACCCAGAAATTTAAATACATATAAAAAATATAAAAGAAATTACCGCCAATTCAGAAATTACACAGAATAAAAGTAACAGCAGCATTTAGACTTTTACGAGAAAATATAATGTGCCGGGGAAACTGAAAATATTAACACAAGTAAGTTAAAAGAAACATAAAAGCAAAACACACAAGCAGAAAATTAATTTGCCACACAAAAAACATAACCAAGATGTAAATGAAAACTGATGCACAATGAAAATGAGTAAAATGATATATTTATATAAATGGTAGGTCAACGAAATGTGCAGGCAAACAAAAACAAATCCAAAACAAAATATGGTAAATAAAAATGTTCTAAATACTGCTATTTAATATATTCCAAGCTAAATCCACAACATTTTAAATTCATGTAAAAAAAAGTAAAATGTCAAATTGGGACAAAGATAACTTTATGATCAAACTAGTTTACACAATAATACAATTCAAATCTACAATATCGTCTACAAATGTAATGACTTGTTGTGTATTTGTGATTTGTATCCACTTGCAACGTGGTTAATCATAGACTTTTTCAACACAATAAAGAACTTATTAATTTCTTAAAAATTACACTCATGGGTTAAAAAAATAACACTATGCACCAAAAAGTTAAAAATGTAAAATAGTTGTCCAACTCAAAAATTTTAAAATAAAAATATAACCTACATTTGATTATTTTTCATTTTTGGTCCTACTGAAACACGAAAAGACGGATATTTTACATATTGCAATAAAAATACTCAAACAAAAAAATTAGCCCTGGCACGAAATTTACGGGGTAATATAAACCAGCGCAGATTTCCTCAGAGTCAGGCAGGCCCGTTTATAATGTTAATGGTCGAGAAACCGGAGAATATTGCAATTTTAACACCAGGAATTCTTCACGGCTCAAGGAGCAGGGCGGCCCAGACCCCATCAATCCACTTAACACAGCGGGATCCACCACAGCCACGGGATTTGTCTATCTTTACAGTACAGGGCGCAATAAAATAAATCAGATTGAATTTCCCTGAAATACACGAAATTTCCCTTTTCCTCAAGATTTACTATTTGGATTATTGTGAAAATATTGAGCGTGTTATAGTTTATTTTCAAGCCGAATGAGCAAGTATAATTTAGTGTTAATTCAATTAAAGGTTAAATAAATACGTGCTCTGTAATTAGACACTATGTTAGAATTAATTATTTTTCTTATTAACATGGTAGTAGCGTATGCGTTAAATAGTAGTTTCTAGTCAGAGTAAATACAGAATAAAATATCCGAGTTTAGTGTAAAAGTTGGTCAATACGTTAAAATTACCGTTTCTCTGAATTATGTTTCTCAAAACATCATAAATGAAAGGAAAACTATCTTTTAACTTAAACGTGTATTTTAGTACACGTAATTACAACAAAGCTTAATTTTCCTTATATTTAATCGGAATACATGGTTTAAAAATTCCAAATAGTTATGAAAACACTTAAAAATCTTCAGGGCGGTTTCTGCTCATATTTCACACAGAACAAAGATATTCTCAGTCTATATTGTTTGTAATATAGTCTATATGATGTAACCTGTCTCCAGACCTTTCCTCTACCCGGGCTGGTCAATGTTTTAAGGCCCAGACTCGTACCAGGTAGACGAAGAATCAGAAGACAGGTTACCTTATACATACTATAGCAGGATAATTTATATTTTCTATTTATTATATATAACACTACACTCACCCTCGGCACATTCGCAGTGCGAGTCCAGATACGTCAGTACAGGCGCTGTAGCGTGTTTAGCTCCTATCAGCCTCGCTCTTATCAGGCCCTCACGCTTGGCGGCTCTCACTATCTTCACCTTGGGATACATGGCCATGTACTCCTCCAGCTGCCTCTTCAGATGGGCTGCAACAAATGGAAACATTATCTCATAACCATTGATAAACAATGAATGGGGTTTTTATTTAAAGGAAATAACACAGCCATACATTGATCACTATACATCACAAAACGTATGACCTAGGATTACCAAATTTGGTATATAGGGTCCCTATACGGTGTCGATGTGCAAAAGGATGGGATTTACCAATTTCGAATATGCTGGTGGAATATTATTTAGTAGCTTGTTAAACTTACTGACAGTAGTCTAATGAAAATAGTAGGTTTAAGAAGGACTCTCTCACTCTTCAAAAGTTTTAAGCAGTGGTCTAGTTGTAGAGCGCAAAGATTCAGTCCCCAAAGGTCCCGCGATCAAATTTTGCCAATCACCAATAGATTTTATCTAAGTGATAATGCCACAACCCTCAAGTAGGTGGCGGCCTGGGGTAATGTTTAAATTGTTTTCGGTTAGAGCCTACGACCTAGGAAGTGAAGGTGTGACTTCCCATTAGTTGTCTTAAATTATTTTTTTCTAGTTTAAAATTGTGTGGTTGTATATTGCAGTAATGTAATGCAGAATATGAAGATCAAAAGCACGATTGGTCACGTCAAATTATAGGTACTTGCAACATGGTGGTTATACTAAAATTTTACTTATTTCACTTCTTGGAATAAACTAAGCACAACGGTACACAGAAAATCTAAATCCTATCAAATTTCACCAATTGATGGCGTCTCGTGGGATATACTAAAGAACTTCTACATCTTTTTTTGGTGTCCACATTAAGTATTAAAATCCTGTGAGGCAAGTTTGTTTTATTCTAATTTATTCATATACTAAGTTAAAAATGAATCCAACAAAAAGACTGTTCACACACACACTGTATTAATCTAGTACTCTCATAGTTAGTGAGGAATCGATTTAGTCACAATGGTAAAAAATTTGTCTCAAATTATATACAAAATAGTTTTGTTTAAATTAAAATCTGAACAGCTCCTTTACAAAAAGTTTCATTTACAAATCCTAACTAATTCATACGTCGCAATAACAAGTTAATTAGTGTAAATTCTCCCTACATTGTTACACGCTCAACACAAAATATCAACTAACCTTATAGTGCAATATTAAACGAAAACATATCATGTTGAAACACCAAACGAATCTAATAAACTTTGACTTTGAACACCCTAATAAGCGTTGCAAAAATAATTCACCGGGTTATCGAAGTGCAATGAAATAATACGCTCGACTTGCGAGACAAAATTGCACATTTCCGGTGGCGAAGTTGAAGTTTAATTCAATCACGTTCGCCACCTCAGGCGCCTTTTGTTATTAAAGTTCAAACCTCGATAAATAATTGCCCGCTGAATCTTGCATTTTCCGCGGCGGTGATTCTCTTAAATTAAAATGCCTTTGTGTAAAGTTTGACACGTATTAAATGGTAATCTATCAAACGCCGATCGCGCGGGTATTAAAGGCGGTTTTTATAGATGACGCGGATTGATAAATGTCTTAGCGACTGAGAAGGTATTGAAACGCTACGGAGGATAGATTAATTTATAGAAAAGATGTTTAAAGTTATCAGAAATACCTATGAAGTTTTATTAAACATTGTGCTATGGAGTTCACACGTTATGTTTTCTTTGGAAACCAATAAAAAAAATATATTAAGACTTTGTGGGTGTAACAGGATGTTTGAACGACATTTTATCCTTGGGAGACATGATTCTGTTTAGGATAACATCTTAAAATCTAAAAATTATCTGTGAACGCCTCAAAACTCTTCGTACACCAGCAAATTACGAAAGAGTGCGAGTCGCAGTAACTCGATGTCCGAATAGTTTTCCCGGGAAGCTTTCGTTGTTGAAAGCTCTTTTCTTATGGTGGTTCTCCCTATAAGCTACTTAAATTCCAAGGTTTTTCAAAGTAGCCTCAGAGATATCTTAAACTGAATCCAGGTATTATCCAGGAAACTAAAGCGATCCCTAAAAAAATCTTCAACGAATAATCGATAGAATTTTCAAGTGATTGAAAATGGTTGTCAAGTATGACAAGGACGTAACTTAAAGGACTTTGATTTCAAGAAATGGAAAATGACTCGGTTAAAATCGCATAAGACAAGCTGTATTTTACTGCAAAGGCTTTGCCTATTGATACAACAAGAGATTCCATCCCTATGGTAAAGTGGTCACCTTTTTTTCAAAATCGTCGTAGTTGATGTGAGCCACCGACAGACTGTACTGATGAAAATTACTGATTTCTGTTGAATACACGAACCTTTTACTAAGTCAGTTTAATGTAACGATTGAGTATAGCAACTGTTTTGACCAATCAACTATGTCACTAACGAAAAATAAGGTAGAACATTTAATTTTTCATACACTAGCAATTTCTACTGGCTAACACAACTGCGTTCTTTTTTAATAAAAAAGATGCTACAGCTGGTTCTAGAGGGCAGATTTTTTTGTGTTTTTTCACCGGTGTTCGAATTCTTTCAGTTTGTTTTGATATTTTTTGTAAGAAAACTAGTAAACAACTGGTCTTTTTGTAATCGAACATCGGCCTTTTGATGGAAAGCATCAAATAAATTGCAAGGGCTAGAATCGATTCCAATATTATGATCGAACGAGAGACCTTCACATTGGAAGGAAATCATTGCAACCACTCAGCTACCTATTCGACTCGTATTTTATGTACGAGTAACAAAAAACCTAAACCTATGTGTAAAATCTCACGCAAGGTAAAAGCTGAAGTCATGTATTTGTTTAATATGTCCAACCAATGCGGTTTGTGATACGTATTGAACTTAGGTTAAAATATTAGTCTAAAATTGTTTTATCAAAATCTACGACACTGTAGAAGTTTTCACCCATCATTACCACGATTCATTTAACAATTTCAAGGAAAGAAAGATGATCAGCTCCCGTCATAAATCCCCTTACAACGGCTTGCCATAATGGTGACAAATTTGTCTGTGTTGAAGGGTGTTCAGTAAGTCATTAGGCGAATATCTTGACTGGGCGGGGCCTACTTAAACATGATTTAGGACCGATTTGGCCACCATTAGAAACCTTTTAACCTTTTTGCTTTCATATTTCAAAGGCAAACGTCCATTTCAGCGTTTTATAGCCCTAATTGGAACGCAGGAATTTAATTTGATTTTAATCGTTGCAATAATCGTGATTGCGACTACTTGTGCAACTTCCAAAAGAAATTGTACGGAATCAAATTTGATATTATAAATACAATAGAAAAATCTAAATATTACGTTTTATTGTAGCTTTATATTAGGGAACATAGCAAGAAAGTGAAACAATATTATTGCCATGGTGATTAAAAACTCGCACAAAAAATGCAAGTCTGCAAGCTTACATAAACAATTATTTACACATGCGATAGAAATTGAATTGAATTGATTGCGATGCTCCAGGTAAAAGTTTGCATTTTAGCACGGACAAATATAATAAATATAGACCGTCCGCAGTGCTGCGGTTAGCATAGGTTCTGGCGCCCACCGCTAGGAGTGCTGTGTGGTTACGGAACACACCGCTGCAACGTCTGCTGGTAGCATACGGCTCCTGCGCTCCTCTTTTGTAGCGGTGTGTGCCGTAACCTTACTTGGAAAGTCTATATTTATTCTATTTGTCTATGGTTTTAGCAACTAAAAAATGATATCCTTGCACTTTTATTAAAAAAAATCTTTATGTGTCAGAATTAAAATTAAAAACGCAACATGTAGACGTACACTTAATACAACATTGCTATAAACTTTCTGATCATACACAACTCTGGTATATTCAAGAGGGAAAATGTGTAACAAACTATATATCATCGGCCTTAATCGTGACACAACCTAAACATTTACCAACATAAATCTCAACGATCATGTAAATCTTCTAATATAACAAATCCTTCAGTTGTGCTATTTTAGGAAACCTTTCCACCACGTTTAAGGAAGACTTAGTAGTAAAACCGACCACATTTTACCATTTTACAGCGCGTTTCCCACTCGCGAGCAACAGCTGTTTCAGACCACGTGACCAGCTGGTCGTAACACAACTCGCGCTATCTGCTGCGATATTTTTACAACGCTTCCAGACTTGCGCGCAATAAAACTATGAGAAAACACTCGACTTAACTGTCGGAAGTAAAATCTGGAAACGACTCACAAAGTGGGTTTACGAGTGTTGCTGTTTTAACATTGTGTTGGGAGTACGTATAGAGTTTTCTGGTCTTATCGAATGAGGTGGTAAAATTAGATAAAGTATTTGCTGTTTTCTGGCGGACGAATTCGTGAAGTGATTTTATGTTGAAATTTTAGCAGAGAGGTGAAACGTTGACTTTTTGTAAAATTGCACATTTTCATAGGCTAATTATGTTATGAAATTGACTACGACGGTGTAATAAAGTTTAAATTATAAATTGAAAGCGAAGATTTTAAATTCCTCATACCACATGATGTTTATATAATAGAGGTCGCTCCGTGGTCGAGATCTCGACCAAAAATACGTATGGTGTAAACTTCTCAATTTTCAACCCATGATGTAAATAAAACAGGTGATTGTAAAAAAATGTAAATGAAAAAAAAATTAAAAAGTGCTTTTATTTACAAATAAGTGAACAAAAAATAACTTCTTAGCACTAACTACAACTATGGACAAAAAGCCCGTCTGTTGCGGCTGGCGTACCTGGTTAGCACTTGTACAAAACTGATTAGTAATAACAATTTAATGAAACTAATAAATAATAATAAAAAATATTTTAAAAGTTAAAAACAGATGATTGGAATTTCTTTAATTTGATTCGATTTTCTGTTTATATTTCGTTGTTATTTCGTCACCAGCATGGCAACCCAAGGCCAATTTTAATTTTTTATCAACTTTGTGTACTTATTTTGAGCCTATTTGAATTTATAAAGGGATTCTGCACATCTCCAAGAAAATATATTTCTATAACAGTATGCTTATATTTTCCCTGAGATGCTCACGAGCTGAGAAAAAATGTTTTAAAGAAACATGCTTGCCTA